TGTGAATTGAAAAACGATTTTCTAATTTTATTATTTTGTCTACATTTGTTATCAGTGGGCATTCATCTGTAAAGAAGATAATTCTTTTAAGCTCTCTTTTCTCTTATAGTATCACTAAATAGTCATGAAATTTAAAAAAATCAATTTGGTATAATCCATTGCTGCCATTATTCTTTTTATTCTCCAGTTACTCCAATTTTGACCAATGGAAGTCCCCTTCAAATCTCTTTGGTCCCTTGGCTATGACCTCATTTTGTTTTTCAGTGCTTCCTTGCATTCTATCCTTAAAGAGATTTTCCAGGCTCATTTTTTACTCATTTTGTCCAAGGACAGGAATCAGCCTTTTCCCCAGAGCCTGTGACACTTTCACTTTTCTGCTCTCTCACTCAGAATCTGTTGCGTCTGCCCGGCTTTGTGATGCTGGAGTTGGACACTGTAAACATGCTTCCTTTGCCAGCTGGCACCTGGCAAGCTTTGACAGTAGAGGGCACTGGAGGGACACTGAAGGGAACAGGCTTCTGGTGCTGCTGTGTGTCCTCTCTTGCACCTCCTCTGGAGCAGCTGCCAGTGATGTGTATGCAGAACATTCAGCGGTGCTCACTCTCCGGCTAGTTTTGCTGGCACCTGGCAGGCAGTTTCCTGCTCAGCAGTCATGGCCCACGGTTTCCTGCTTGCCAACCTCAGTCTACTGGCACTCCTGTGGGAAGTGACCTATTTGCCAACTTCAACCCACCAGCTACGGACCAGCTCCCACCCAGGATAACACAGCAAACTTCTGTGCCATCCTCTGTGCTGCAGCTACAGCTTCTTCTATGAAGTTTGAGTCTTAGCTTTGGGAAAAGGCCCCTCTTTCCAAGTTGTTCCTTATTTGGGTACTCTCAGTCCAACAATATTTTTAAGATTCCCCTCTCCTCTGGTTAACTCCGTATTTGTTAATAATTCTTTTTTTTTTTTTAAGTTTGCGTGATGTCTTTTATTTATATTTTTAAAATTTATTTTTCTTGTTGAAAGTTTTACAGATGCCCCCCACTCCTTTTCCTCCCCATTGGCCCCCTCTACTCTCCTCCAGTCCCCTTCCCAGGCTTTCACCATACTATTGTTTGTGTCCATGGGTTATGCATATATGCATATAAGTTCTTTGGTTAAGCCCCTGCGCCCACCCCCACACTATATATCAATTTGTTGCATGCTTCATTGTCTCTGGTCTGTTTTGTTCCTAAGTTTATTTTGTTCATTAGATTCCACATATAAGCGAGATCATATGATATTTGTCTTTCTCTGCATGGCTTATTTCACTTAGCATAATACTCTCCAGGTTAAATTTTTTCTATTCAGGTTATTGGTGTGTGTTCCTTCTTCTAACTGAAGCCTGACTGAGAGAGTACAGGGAGAGGTCTTTGAATGGTATCAGCATTTAAATGCACAATTTCTGGATTGACTTGGTCATGCCTTTGGATTTGAGTACAGTGCTGAGCCACTTGCCAATGGGAAATGAAATGCTTGTATTCTTTGGCATGCAGGGACAACACAATTAATAAAGCTGCTGCCTGTGGTTGGTTGTGATGAAGTGCCAATTAAAGCAAATACATGGGGAACCAAGGGGCTGCTGCTCTTGACTAATGATGACTATGAGGATGGTGGTGTCTTAGTCTGTTTGGGTTACTATAATACAATTACCAAAAGACTGGGTACCTTTTAAATAAGAAACATTTACTTCTCATAGTTCTGGAGGCTGTGAAGTTCAAGATTAAGGCCTCAGTAGATTAGATGTCTGGTGAGGGCCTGCTCTTTGGTTCACAGATGGCCATCTTCTTCCTGTGAACTCCCATGGTAGAAGGGGCTACAGACTCTAGGGGCCTCTCTTATAAGGACAGTAATCCTATTCATGAGGACTCCATCCTCATGACCTAATCACTTCCCAAAGGCCCTAGCTCCAAATACCCTTACATTGGGCATTAGGTTTTCATTGTTTTGGGGTTTTTTTTGGCATTAGGTTTTAACAAATGAATTTTAGTCTATAGCAGGTGATATGGGTCGAGTCTCCTCATAGAAAAGCTATCCCCACACCCAAATTAACTCCCTCATGTGTTTGTTTAATATTTTTATAGTTTCTTTTAAAATTTATATCTATGGTTTATTAGAATGTATGATATGAGTTATGGATCCAATTTTATCTTTTACTGAGTGGATATCCAGTCACTCAGCATCATTTATTTAAAAGCTCTTCTTCTTCCTAGTGATCTCAGATGCCATATAGCAATTCCCATATGTACTTGGGTCTATTTCTGAACCTATATTCTCTTCCAGTCTCTCTATTCATTTGCCAGTCCCACAGTATTTTTTATTAGAGAGGCTTTATAGTCTGATTTAATATTGCGAGGGCTGGTCCTCCCTTATTGCTTGTATTTTTCAAGATTTTCCTTCATATTATTATATGTTTATTTTTCCATATGAACTTTGGAATTAGCTTGCATAGCTCTAGGTAAAACTTTTATTTTCATTGGAATCACAGTACATTTATATGTTACTTGGGGGAGAATTGCCATCTTTATGGTGTTAAATTGTCCTATATGAGAAAAACACAGGACTGTTTCACAGATTTTCTAATATAGTTTTGGCACATTTTCTGTGAAGTATTTTATTTTAATTTTTTTCTATATTAAATGACATTATACCTTTTAAATGGTTACTGCTTGTATTTTTTGTGTATATGTTTTTAGGTAATTTTTATATCATGCTACCCTATAGAACTTGTTAGTTGTTATTTTTAGTACTGATTCTCTATATTCTAGGTGCAGTATTATATAATGTACATAAATATGTAATTTAATTCTTTCTTAATTCTTATACATCTAAATGGTTATGATTGGAGATATAAGACAGACTTGTTGTGTTGTTGAGTTTAATGGGAATTTCTTTAAAGTTTCTCCATTAAGTGTGATGCTGGCTTACGAGCTGAGGTATAAAATATTTCATCATATTAAGGAAGTATTCCTTAATTTTTATTTTATTTTTATAAACTTAAGAATGACTGTTGAAATTTGTCAAAGGCTGTGCTACATTTTATTATTTGCTCACAATTCTTTCTTCTTTCTTTCCTCTCTCATGATTCACTGGTGGGGGGCGGGGGTTGTAACCCTGTGACTTGCCTTGAACAATGGGATATGATCAAAAGTGTCAGTGTGTCAGTTCTTAACCCAAAGTATTATATTTCTGCTCACCCCTCTTGTGTTTCTGCCTCTTTCATCAGGAAAACATGCCCTGAGTAGTTGCTGGTCCCAGATAGAAAGACATATGGAGCAGACCTGAATCCATCCTACAGCCTGCAGCACAACCACCCTGCCAACCCACAGACTAGTGATTGAGAAAAAGAAAAATATTTGATGTTATAATCCACTGAGATATTGGGGATGTTTGTTACTCATTATTTTTACAGTAATAGCTGACTAATGCAAAGCCCTTTTTAATCATCTATAGACCTAATCAAAGGACATCTTTCTCCTTAATCTAACTATATAATGACTAATAGGAGTGAATTTGCTAATATTAAAGCATCATTGTCTAAGAGTACCCCTACCCCCTTGATTATTATGTATTCTCTATACTTTCAATTCTGTTTGCTGGCATTTTATTCAAGACTTTTTCATTGCAAATCATGAGTGAGAATGCTTTATAGTTTTGTCTGCCTTCTCTGCTATAATTTAAATGGTATTGGGACTATCTGGTCATTGAAAGTTTGACAGAATTCCCCTGTAAAATCATTTGGGTCTATTATTTACAGTTAGTTCTTTGATCATATTTTGTCTTTTCTCTATAGAAATATGTGTATGCTTTCATGTGTAGCAAGGTCAATTTTAGTAAATTGCATTTTCCTAGAAAATAATCCAATTCATTTAGCTTTTCCATTAGTTTTGTATTGTTTTGCAAAGTCGTATCTTTCAATTTTTAAAATTTCCTCAACTTCGTTGGTTATCTCCTTGTTTTTAGTTCTTATTTGTGTTTTCTGCCTTTTTCCCTTTATTGGGTTAGATAGTGACTTATCTATTTTGTTGATTTCTTTCCTTTTTTTTCCCCCACAAAGAATCAGCATTTTGATTTACTAGTTTCTACTATTTTTTTCTGTTTTCTACCTCATTCTTTTTGCTTTCAACCTTGTTTTTCCTTCCTTGCACTTTGCTTTACTTTGTTGGTCTTTTCTAATTTTTAAGATGGGAGCTTAATTTATTCATTTTCATTCGTTTATTTATTTATTTTCATTGTTGCTGCAAGAATTAAGGTTATGGATTTTCTGTGACTACTCTATTGATTTCATTTTCATGATGACTCATTTTTAGATATTACACAATTAAAATTTTCCCCATTTGTTCCGAAAGTTGTTTAATAGAAAAATTTAAATGTTCCAAATGGAATTTCTAGTTTTAGAAAGAGCAGAGGGATGAGACAAGGAAATAAAGATGCTCGCTCTGCTTCAGGTTTCCAAAACTTTTCATTTTGAATGAAATTGAGAAATTTCATTATTACCTGAAACAGCATTAACATTTTTTTTCCGTTACAAGGGACTATTTATTTTTGATGAGTGATCTGAATAGCTGTGGAACCTACCCAGGTTTTCAACCAAGAACACAAAAGCACTGTATTTACTGAGGAAATGAATGGAGAGTGATGGTAAACAATAAGATTCTTTTGTGACTGAATCTAGGCTTTCATCATCTTTTAGATCAGCTTTGTAAAAATTACAAAAAGGTGCCTTCACTGGGTGGAAGCAGACTGTAGAGCCCTGTGTAGTTGGAGAAGTGCTGGCTGATTTTTCACCCCCATGTGGCTCCTGTTTCCTTGGCTAGGAACTTAGCTCTGCCTGAAACCGTACAGTTGAGGCAGCAATTCTGAGATTGCTCTCTATGGAATCCAGCATATTTATTAAAAGCATTACACCTGTTAATTGTTGGGCAAGTGTGGGAAACCAAATAAAGAGAAGAGTAATTGATACCACCAAACTCTCATTGCATTCGAGATAAAAGATTTATTCACACAAAAATAATCACAACAAAATGTACACTAATTTGAAAAACAAAAGATTGTAGGGACAAAATTTTATATTCTCTCTTATAATTGTGTAAAATTATTTTTAGTTCTGCAAAAGGTATGCTGTTTGCTTCTACGTGAATTTCTATTCACAAAAGAATAGCAAACATTAAAATGCAGTGTTAGTTCTTATATAGAAAGAACATAGACTAAACCCTGAAGCTTTTAGTTTACAAATTGTTACAGGAAGCCACACACTAAACTATTGATAAAAAACATTACCTGTTTCCAGATTCACATACATATACATTCACCAATTAAGCTGAGAAATAAGCATTTCATATTCTGTCCCACCTCACTATAATGTATTTTTTCCTTTTAACCAAAAGCAGGAAATTATATCTTCCTTTTTTTAATTGACCTCAGTTGATGCACTTTCTAACTCATGAGAGACGCGAAATTTCAGATGTTTATCTTGCTCCTCACTCTTAGGGTGTAAGGCCGGCTTGTCTTCATAGCTACCCAATTCTTGGCTATGGAATTCATGGCTGATTTTGACATTTTCCGGACTATCAATCCCATCGGAATGCTCATTGCTCTGACCAATTGCCTTCAGCTGATATTCTTTGGGAAGCTTGAGGCTGTGGGTTTCCACGCTGTGGTCATCCAGCAGACTTATTTCCTGGCTCTCCCTCCCATGGCTGTCCCAGTCAGAAGCCACATGCAGGCCCTGGGCAACAAGGACGGCCTTGTGTGCTTCATCCGCCTCATTGCTTTCCACGTGTGATGTAAGGTCCTCCTCTGTAGCATCAGGATACTGAATCACAGCACAAATGGAAGAAGAATTAAATGATAGCCAGGAATGGGGACATTGTAATTCTTTTCTGTTCTTGAACTTTGAGACCAATTTTTACTGGAAGTTGTCTAAATTTGGCTGAAGTAAAAAATAATACTAGCATGTTACTTTGTATTTCACCAAGCCCTTTCAGGTGTCATCTCCTTTGATATAATTGGTGCATCAATTATATATGTGGTGAAACCTATGAGGTAGGTCTCCTTATCTGTGTTTTACATTAAAGAAAAGTGAATTGAAAGTTGAAAAGTAAAGTGAATGGTGGCTCTGTATCAAATCTAGATCTTTTGACTATAGATTCAGTGTAATTTGCAACTCTACCATTCCTCTTAGGTATTTAACTTCAAAATGTGACCATTGTATTGTGAAAATAATTGCTGTTTCCAAAGTCTCCTTTTAATCTAAAAAAAAAAGTAGAATGAATACTTTAGAATTTGGAAAAAAATAGCATTGTGATTGAGAGACAAAATTAGAGAGAAATTACTTGGAGTTAAACATGAAAAACCACCAAGGGAAAAAGGTTTTATATTCAATGGTCATAAAGCAATAGTAAGGCTTGTTGAATGAATGGATGCGTGTATGAATGAGTGAATATGTACGTAGACTCTGGTTCCTAGACTTGGGCTCTAATCATAACCATCTAATGTGTCTGCTAAGGGATTTACCTGGGCTGCAGGTCTGTGGAACTTCTTAGATTTTGACTTCAGTCCATAAGCCACACTGTCACCTCGGCCATCATATGTGTCTCTTGTGGGGACAGGGGGAGTGACAATGAGGGTTCCGGGAAAGTCAGTGGGAAAATCAGTGACCAGTTCATCAGATTCGTCAGAATGGTGAGACTCGTCAGAATTGTCGGAGTCATCAGTTTGATCAGCGTCATCTGAATCATTTGAGTCAGTGGAGTCCTGGCTGTCCACATGGTTGCTGTCGTCGTCATCATCCACATCATCTGTGAGGTCATGGCTTTCATTGGACGTACTTGGGAGGGTCTGAAAATCAAGATGGCCAGAAAACTCAGTGGAAGTGTTTTTATTTGCCTTAGCCTTTAAAGAGCATTAGTTTTTCACTGTCTTTCTTTTGTTTAGTTTCAGGGTCTTTGTATTCACAACAATGTACTCAATGGCTTTTAAGAGCTCAAGTGAGCATCTTCCAGTTTCTCTTAATGCGAGGCCAAATGGAAGCATAACTGAAGTATTCTTCTTGCTTTCCCATAAAAAATTATTTTCCTAGATATTTTCAAGTCAGATATGTGAGTATAATATTTATATTGCTAACAGTGTTTTCTCTTGTTCACTTTATACATTTAATATGCCAATTCAATAGTACAATAAACACAGATACATAATTGTGAGATTACTTTTGTATTAGAAACAAGAATTCTCAGGAGATCAGAGCATCCGTATAATAATGCATGCACCAAAACCTATAGCCGCTATTAGCATGGACCATCAAAAGTGGCTCTATTTGGCATGTGTATAAAGTGCAGCTCAGATCTGTCAATTGAATTAACCAGTTAATATCTGTCAAACTTCCAATTATTAAGTATACTGGGTCATTTATCTAACTTTTCTTGCTAGCAATTCTTAGCATAGTCAAACAGAATCTTAAGGAAAACAAATTTAACTTATTCTCTGCTTAGCAAATAAATAGTCCTAACAAAAAGTACTCATGTTAATAGTCTTGATAAAAAGCCTTAATTAACAGTCCTAATAATAGTTATCAAATAAACCATTATGTTAGGAACAGAAACGTTCCCAGAGGCAAAATCTTGGGCTTGATAGGTATTAATTAAGATGCTTATCAGACATCTGTAAGACATCTGAAAGATATACCTTAAATCAATTGTAAGAGGCTTAGTATTTCAAATAACAGACATTAGTAAACATTTCCTGCCACACTAAACTTATCTGAAGAAATCTGGTATTTCTGGCATTTAGTAAATACGTGTTTTTTTCCTGAGCAAGTTTTAGACTGACAGTTTACTGGAAAACTTGTACATGGAGTTTTGTCAGAGCTGAACCCAGGTAGTGTCATGAGGAGAAAGTGGCTTCTTCCTCTCTTCAGGGCATGGTGGGCCTTTGCCCCAAAGTGAGAACTCACCTCTTGTTTGAAGTCGTCAGTTTCCTCAGAAGATACAGTATTCTGAAGAAGGAAAGGCACAGATCAGTGCATATCATACATGCGTAACCTTTTTATTCAAAAGTTAACCTTTCCATCTTAGCAGGTCTTATTTTTCAGCCGTGTTGGTGAATGACTTAAAGGGGAAAGAGTCAACATGTCAGATCAGTTGGTGTCCTAAGCTTGGGTTTGCCAACAGGCACGAAGGATCTACTGAAGCAGCCCAAATGGCCTGGTTGGTGGCTATTTTGTTGTTGTTCTTTAATTGCAAGAAATAGAATTTTTAAAATTAATTAAAATTAAAAATACCTGTGGTGCTAGGAGATTCTGCTTCTGAGCTGGGTCTGGCTTTAGCCATGTGGCTACAGCATCTGGGTGCTTGTAAAGCTGCAAAAAAAGTTGCATGTTTGTCATTATTTAAAAAAAGAAACATAAGGATCTTTAAGTGATAAGCTGAAAAAACAACTATACTTTACCAATACTGATGGATAAGCATAATATGCATGTAAGTCAACCAGAGCCTTAGATACCCCTTTTCTAACTTATTTTTTCTTGCAGATTTACTTAATAAATTCTTACATTGCACTTATTGTGGGCTAGGCACCCTTTCAAAGTGATTCATATGTATTCGTTTAATCCTCTCAACCCCCTATGAGATAGATGTCACTCTTGTTTCCATTTTGCAGATCAGGAAAAACGAAGCTACAGTGAAATTAAGAGCCAGGGTTCAAATCCAGACACAGTGGTTCTTCACACTGATCTTAACACTGTGCTTCCCTGTTCTGTGTTTGCTAGTTGAAATTTCCTCTCAGATAAAGCACTACTAAAGCAGAGGTGCCCTTAATTAGGATTCCCATATATCCTATTAGCTCTAACTATCTAGAAGTTTGAGCTCTTCACTTATCTCCTAAATATCATTTAATAACTTATACTGCCATGGCTTCATGTGCCATATTTTCTTTTATTAAAAAGACAATAATTCCTGCTTCAAATAATGTGACCTCTGTATTCTCGGGAAATGTGAATCTTTCTGGCTGTTTGTTGTAAGCCAAACAATACTTGTGTTCTTAAATCAGTTGGAAAACAGACACGCCTACTCACACCTACTTGTACACCCAACCACATGCAACAATACCTCTCTTAGTGTCTTCATTAAGCAATCTAATTACAGTGACTCCGGGCCACTCTATATTGGCCTTTATTCTGTTCATCTGAATTGAACTCTGTGTCTTTTTGTCCAAGCTCCTTGGGACAATGCCCATTTGTTGTTTGGCTGGCACAGTTTCACCTATTGTGGAGGGACAGGTACAGCTATGGTTCTGGTCAAATAATTATAATAAAGAATTTAATTTGGTTTTATGTTTGGTTCGAGAAATGTGATCTAAAGTCAGCTGACAAGCACAATAGATACAAACAGCATAAACAGACTTTCTTTTTATAACGGGCTTCTTGGCAAATAGCTTAGGACATATTGTGAATATTGCAGTCATGTGAACTGTCCAATATGTGAGGCCCATTTTAAACTTAGCCTTCCACTAAGTAAAGCAAAGGATAGAGTTTTCTACTTCTAGAACAGTATGTTGACTTGTGGAAAGAAGAAGTCACACAACTTCATAGAACTAATTTTACATAAGTGATAATGGCATAGAACATTATTTTCCTATATATAAAATCTAGTTTGGTGTCTGGAGCATATATTTATTAAAAATTGTACTATGCTTGGTATTGGCCTAGGTTGAAAGCAGGTAGTCAATAATTACTTATAAATTAACAGGCTTGACTCTGAAAATAAGTAAAATTGCACAGATATGTTTGTAGCACTTCCTGAAGCAATTGCATAAATAATTTAACCATGTGCTAAACCTAAAAGATGCTTACCTGCCTTTCCTCAGAGCTGCCAGAATCAGCACGTTTAACCTTTGAAACAGAAAAGATGAAGAAAGATTACAATGGGGATGTGTTCCCAGCACATGAAGCACACAATTCATTGATTTTGAGGAATTTTTTTTAAGGTTCAGCTGTACTCACTGGAAGGGCGTAGGCGATGCCTAAGAGGCAGAAGCAAATCACTGCAGCTCTCATGGTTGTGGTTTTCCCTGAAAAGTACTTTGTAGTGAATATCTGATCTCTTCACAGGTTAAAACAGCAACAGCTTATTATGCTACCACATCATAAAATAATCACAAATACATTTTCTGTAGAATATTTTCTACTCCCTAGACAAAACTTTTCTTTCTAATATTATGGCCTTTTGCGTTAATATTTGTAATGCCCCCTCTATTCTCCACCTTTCACTATTAGGCAAGGGAGAGAGGAAATGTACAAGTCAATATTCAACTTTTAAATTTAGGGTTCCAGAGATTACACCATTATTACCTGATATTGCCAGCTATCTAAACCTAAACACAGACCCAAAGTAATTTAATTAAAATGATAAGGTAGCATGGGAATATGTACTTTTCAGAGAAGAAAAACACAGAGAGAAAATAAGACTGTGAAAGAAATCTGCTTTCTCCATTTTTTCAGCATGCATTCCAAATATGATTTTTAACTTAAATTATTAAAAAGGTGCTACTTGGGTGAAATAAAGCTGTTTCTAAAGTTATTTAAGTTATTCTAGAAATCTGAAACAAAAAAGGAAACATCGAAAACAGTCAACAATTTTTTAAATTTGCGATAATAAGTCCACATATCATCATACAGTTTTTTTGGTGAAAATTTTAACAGCTAAATACAGAAAACCTTTAAAGATATTCAGAAAAGGTTTTTTTTCCTTGAAAATAGTATAAATCAGTTAATTAAAAGCAACATTATCATTAGCTTACATTAGCACTGAAGATCTTTTTCCTGTTAAATGCCTCACAATCATTTACCCATTTAAAATGATACAGATATAATCATCCCAAAGTGGCATCGAATTTTACATTTTTTTTTTTTTCATTTCTTTTGAGGACTGAGTGGAAGGATTTTTAAGTTTTACATTGACTGGCTTTCAAAATAGCTACTCACCTTTCCTGCAGGAGACCTGCTATGTATCTGGCACACTTATTCAAAAGACTAGAACAATTTAAATCTGATTAACAGCATTACAGTTACACTCTTTTTCCTCACAACTTGACCTTCCCCATGAACGGAAACTGAATGCGTAGGACAGCAGCAAGACAGCAAACTGCAGGCTCACCTTGGTCTGCTCTGGCCGAGAGGAGGGTCCAGTCCCCGGCGGTGCTGCACTCCTGTCTCCTCGCCTTGCTGCTGACAGCCAGGACCTCCCAGGATTTAAATGCTGCTCCAGACATTCCCCCCCAACCAGGGAGGCGGAGAGATGTGTCATGAGGTTTTCTGCCACTGCCCAACCCACTTGCTCCCACACTTCCCCCTCTGGTTTTGTGGTTAAAACACACACACATACACACACACTCCAGAGTTAAAACATTACTAATCTACAATGTCATTAACTGGCATTTTCACTTATGGGAATAGCATTCAGCATCATGAAAGGGCACCTTGGAGTCCCATTAAAAAGGGGGAGAAATGACTAGTTCTTACAAAGACTATATAATTTCTGAATTAGAAGGAAAAAATATTAATAAAAGTGAGCCCCAAATACAATGAAATAGAATGTGTGTTTTTTCTTCCAGTTTAAATAGAGATTAAGGTATCATATGCAACTAAATTTGCCTCACCATTCATTATACTTATTGGAGAGCTACAAGACTATTGTTGAGGCGTACAAGGAGCTCAGGCACCCTCCCTCCGTCCTTTACTTCTCAGGGTTGGTTTTGTGACTTCACGTATGCAGCAGCTTGTCATTTAGACAAAGGGCACTAGTAATATGAAAATCCGCAGGCCTGCCCATTAAGTTGGACTTACAATGATGCTACAAGGACATGGATTTTTGTCACACTGTTTGAATTGTTTGGATGCGATTAACCTGCTAACTTGCTACATAAAATAGAGACGGTTTGCTTTACATGCTACGGAGGTAAAGTGTCTGCGAGCAGGGTGAGTGCGTGAAGGTGCTGCCTCGGGAGCCAGGAGCGGCTTCGGAGCTCGCTGGGCCACTAAACAGCTGCGTGACCTTAGCCGACCTACACCTGTTTCCTCATCTGTCACATGCACACTCTGTTACCTAGCTCCTGGGGTTTTGGGGAGGTTTAAATGAATTAGCATGTGGAAAACAATGCTTGGCACGTAGCATATGCATATTTTAAGCACTGTGTGTGTTAACTGCTACTGACATGTAGGAGGAGCAACTCTTCATGATTTGCAGCATCTTTAGATGAAATGGGTCTTTGAAATGAGACTAGATGTAAGATCTTTAGATTGTATACATCTTTAGTGTACTTTACACACCTCCAAAGGAATGCGTTAGATTTCTGAATGATTTTTTTTTTAGTTTTTCTCTCAGGATATATGAAGTTGGTGACTTAACAAGAAAATGTATATTTTTAAAGCTTTTCTGGGTGTTTGAAAGAAAATCACAGATGAAGTTTGAATATTGGAACAGAAATGAGGCGTAGCAGAGCTCTGAGTCCGTTTAAAGCATTTAATATTGTCTTAAGATTATGTACTCAGCCTCTTCATTTCACTTCCTCAGTTGTGAAATGGAGATTGCACTGTTTGTTTACCTCATATCTTCGCTGTAAGATTTGTGTGTGAAGCGAGATTAAAGATAAATGGCCCCACTTATTATTACTTCTATGTAACATGTCAGCTTCTATTGGCCAAATATTGCTTTTAATATAAATATGGATTAATCAGTTTCTTGCAGTGTTAGTATACTAATCCATAGGTTGTATAGACATTTTGGTATACGGGGGGAATTATGTCTCTTTTAAATTGTATACATTCCAAATGAATTTATAGTATTTGTGGGTTCTAAGCACACATTTTCATAATTCATTTGGCAGCTATCTCTATAAAATACGACATATAGGTTATAAAGTTGCAAAACAGACTTCTTATTTCTGCTTTTAAAAACTTTTTCTTTTTCTCTCTCTCTTTAAACACATTACCCATGTAAGTTAGTCATATTGACAATTTAGTAGAGGAAAGTTCACAAATTCTAAAAACAACAAGATTTCCACAGGATTCACAATGGTTTACTCTGTGCCCACGGAAATGATTTAATATGAACTTAGAGAGGTATAGGAATAGATTTCGCTGGAGCCCAGCCACCCTGAGATGAACCATATGACCCAGCCAGGACTCTTCCGGTCATGTCTCCAAAGTGCCACACGATGGCAGCCTTTCTGAGAATGGTTTCAGACCACAGTCTGGTTTGTCAGCTTTCCTACACTCATAGGAAAGAACATTCATGTATTTAATGACAGGACTCTAAAACAGCTGAGGGGCCTTTCGCTTCTTGGAATGCCAGGTGAGTAAACAGATATTTCCCAACAGTGACCTGCTCCCAGTATCAGGGAACACAGAGGCCGAGAGAACCACGGCGCCCCTGTTCTGCTCTGGGGGCCCTCAGGCCGCAGCCCCAGGTGGGCGCTTTTGTCTCCTTCCCCACTTCCCACACTCACTCAAAAGGGTACAGGTCCCCAGGTGTCACTCAGAGGGCTGTGAATTCATGGTGAGAGAATGTGTCTGGGAAGCTTCAGAGATGAGAAGATAAAGTGATTTACGATGGAGGCAGCTCTGTAAAGCATGAAATGGATAGTGTGTCGTTCTGACTTTTGAAGAGGCTCCCGCTTCTTACTTTTTGTAATCAAACATGCTGCTGACACATTTTTTTCTGAGTAAGATTTTCCAACTGTCAGAATTAACATTTTAAATGATTTAAACCAGAGGGCCTTGATTTGTAACATTTCCACACTATTTCCATTCTTGATTAGGCTGACACTCGGTTGTTAGAATCTAAAGGTCAGAATGATCAAATTCCCTGCAGATCTTGTATGTGGAAAGGAAAAAGTTCAGTTGTGAAACGAATAAAGAGTGGCGTGTGATAATAAAATATAGACGCTGTAAGAGGACTTACGGAAACATTTAAGAACATTACTTTTTTTTTTTCTTGAATCGCATGAAAATTCCCATACATAGAAAATTTTAAGTGTCCGGATGTCAGTGTTTTGGTGGACTTGATTATTCTAGTTTATTTGGACATTTACAATTTAAGTTTTACTTAGTGAAGTATAATCACCTATTTTGACTCTTTCAGCTCTTTCAGTAATTATTTTCCCCCCTAAATTAAGGCTCAGATAAAAATATGACATTTTGATACCATCGCGCACCTCTGATAGACAAGTTGGGAACTGTAGCCAGTCAGAAGCCTACCACAGTATTCAACATTTGTAGTCTACAGAGAAGGGGCATTATTTATTAGAGGGAGGGAAACAAGGATGAAAGATAAGAGGGTGCTCCTTTTAAATTTAGACATGAAATTAGAACATTTCAGAAATATAGAAACACCATAGAACATTTTATTCCAGAGCTCAATAACTTTGTTAACAAAATTCAGCTCCTGAAAAAGTGGTCTTACTATCAATAAACATTAGTTTCACTTAAAACAAACATTTTTATTTTAGATCCATAGAATTGTTTTAGATTAAATAACTATTCAATACATTCTAATGATTAACAATTCAATTCCCCATTCACAACAATGAATTCTGAACATATAGTTTTTGCCTATTGATACCATGCATGGGTGCCATGCTTGAATCCCCATATCACATATTGATTGCCAATATTTGCCAGTACTCAAGAATTTAGCAGTATTTCTTTATTAAAATATTATCACTACTCTGAGGACATTAGCACTTTTTAAATGATGAATTCTCTAAAGTTGATTTAAGTAATTTTTTTCTTTAAAATGACATCATTTCTACCCTCACGGGGCCCATTTATTCATAAAAATTAACTAAGAAATTTGGAACTTGTGTAGCCAATGAGGTTAAGAGGCATGGTTAAATAATAAACTTAGTGGAGCTGTGGACTCTGGGTCTCCACTGTGTCTACGCTGGAGTTGAAAGGATGGATAATTTGGAATTGGACTCAACAGAAAGTCTCCCTTCCCAGGCAGAATCAATCATAGTAGCATAGAACCCTCCACCTGCAGTAACAATCCGGGAGCCTGAAATCAGAGAGGACCTGAAGAGCAGGAGGTGGAAAGCTGCAGAGACGTATAAATAGAAATCTATCAGCTGCAGGCCCTTTTCAGGATGGAAAACACATTTGCCTCACTGATCAACCAGTGACAGGCATTTTGCAGAATGTATTTGAGGGGAGAAAAGCATTCTTTGAAATCAGTTTATGAGAATTCTTATTTAAAATCTGATGTTTGAGTAATTTTTGTAGAGAATCAATTATAGGGTTGATATGGAAAAGTGACCATTTTAGTGCAGAACAAAAGAAGGAAGACAAAAACTTGATGGCAAAAGAAGCGGCGAGGAGGACTTAAGATCTTGCTCCTTGGCATATGTCTTCAGTTGGGCTCAGATGAACACTTGGAAACATTTAAAAACAGAAGCAGCTAAATCAGATATTTTCTAGCCATATTTGGCCAAGTGTTATTGTTTTTACCCATTCCAGTTAAGGAATACCGCAGGTTAATGCCCCCCTGTTCCATGGTAAAACATTCATGTTTCTAAAAAATATTATTTAAGCCCTGGCCAGTGTTCTCAGTGGTTAGAGCACCAGCCCTTGCACAGAAGGGTCACAGGTTGGATTCCTGGTCAAGGGCACATACCTGGGTTGCAGGTTCGATCCCTGTGAGGGTTGGGCCTGTTCGGGAGGCAGCCAATCGATGTGTCTCTCACATTGATGTTTCTCTCTCTCTCTCCTCTTCCCCTCCCTCCTTCCTTTCCACTCTCTCTAAATATCAATGGAAAAAATACCCTCAGCTGAGGATGAACAACAACAAAAAATATTGTTTAAAATAATTAGTAATTAAAGCTTTAGTTCGTTAATGTTTGAATTCAATAGTGTGATTTAGCAGTCTATGTGCCAACAATTATTTACGCAGTAATGAAAATCTTAACTCTATAATAAAATGTTTATTTCTTAATAAATTGAGTCATTCCTGATGATTATTTTCTGTTGCTTCCGTAAAGCCCCAAATTGAACTCCTCCAGATCCTGTTAGAAGTTGCTGTCAGGCAGAATGGGTTACGTCTGAGAACTTCAAGCATTATTCCTGCGCCCCAAGGTGAAAGCTATTTTTTACAGACTATGAGGACCTCTGGATCTGGCATCCTTCATCTTCACAGCCTTATCTTTCTCCAGCTCCTCTCCTGTCCTCCATGAAACA